CAGTTGGGTGGTAGATCACAGCTGAAACTAGAGCTGAGACAGGATTCTGCAGCAGTCGGGGGGGTGGAAGAGGGAGGTGAAGCCCCTTCTCCATCCCCTCCGCACACACCCACCAACTTTCCAGCATCCTCTTGCCCAGAGGGACCACTTCAAACAGGAGAGTGGGTTGAGGTTGTGGTGTTTCCGCTGGCAGTGACGATCGGTGGCTTTCGTGACGTGGATCCCTGTCCAGCAAGCTCTGGACTGAGATAACTCAACTGCTTCCACCTCGGAGCACTGCCTGGTGATGAGTCAGTGAGGCTGTAATCCAGAGGGATTGGTTACATTTGGGAAGAGGTGACTCCATAGAGCAGTGGTGGGGAGCAGAGGGAGAACAGAAATGGTTATGAAAAGAGAAATCCTCCGGAAAGTTAGCAAACTGTGGGGATGTGGTATTTTTCTCCCTGGTGTTGGATGGAAGCCCTATGAAAACCGTAGTTTCAAAGGAGAGAAAACATCAAATTCCTTCTCCCTGCTTATCTCTGCAGGTCTGACCAGCAGCAGGATGCTCGGCTGTTGAGGTGGGAAGTTACTGTGTGCACCCTCCTTACCTCCTATCCACCCTTTTTCAATTTAAAGCCCTTTTTTTGCCACAGCAGAGAGTTTCTGGAATAAGGCTGGGGAAGTCTCAACAGCTGGGCACAAAGCCACTGCTGAGTCAAGGCATTCAGCTGCTAACTCTCCTCTCCAGCTGAATTTCGGCTCTGCGACATGCGGGAGCCCAGGTTAACTCTGTAGTGAAGGCAGACCCTACGTGGTTATTTAATAATTGTCCACAGTGTACAAGTGGGACGTGCTGGGGAAGGAGCCGTCATTCTGCTGCTTCCCAGGGGCTGCGGAGCTGCTGTCCTGTGTACGGGAGGTACCCCTGGCCGTTAGAGGCATCCTTCATTAAAAGCATCTTTCATTGTTTTCTTTTTCGTAGCTGAGCATCCCATCATATATAAGACACTTAAAGTTGCTGTTTAGAACCCTTTTGCTTATGAACCTGTTTGTGGTTGTTTGGTTGTTTTTTTTTCCAGTGGGGGCACAGGTACCTGTAGAGCAAATTTGCTGTCTCTTAACATGCTTAAAAGTTGTCCTTGAGCACCCCTCCGCGCTCCCTCTGGGGGCTGCGGATTCACAGTTTGAAAGCTACCAGCTTCAGGAGGTCCTGACATCTTTAAAGGGTGCAAATTCCTCTTCTCTAAAGTATCTTCAACCTTATGTGCCGGGTCTGTCAGTCCGGCAGGTCTCCTGCAAAGGGAGGGCAGCACCAAAAGGTCGGCATGCACCCCCTGGCCCAGACATCACGCCAAGGCTTAGCGCAGGGTTGAGGTGGGCAGCAGTCCCGGCACCAGGGCTCGCTGAAGGCTTGTTAAGGGCTCTTGACCTCTACTAGAGCAGATGATAGTGGAGGTGGAGCCCATGCCTCAGTGGAGGCTGTGGCGCCTGGGATTACATCTGTGCTCGTCCTGTCTTTGGAGACCCCAGCTGGGGGTTTGGCCGGTGAACTTCAGCCACTGCTCCTCCCTGCTCGCTGAGGTTGCTTGGCTTTCCCAGCCACTACCACCCAAATAGGTGTACTGGGAGCAGTGCTTTTCGCCTCCTGGGTGGGCTGTGGGGTGGTGGGAACCAGCGAAACCCCGTGTCTTACTCGCCTAGTCTGCAGATGGATGAGAAACCTCTTCCTGCCGCCGCTAAGCAAACATCCTCCAGGAAGAGCATTGTGCACATCGCTTGGGTTGCTGCTTCCCAGTTGAGCCCATCTTCAAAGCTGTTTGTGTGAAGCAAGAGTGGGTGGCTTTCCCTGCCGCCGTCTCAGCCAGTGGCGTTGCTGCGGGACCCTGCTCTGCTTTAGAAGGTGGCCTCTGGGGCTTGGTCCTCTCCTGGCATGAAGGCAGCCCAGGGAGGCAGGGGATGTCCCTCTGCCCT